CAGCGCGCTTCTGTCGGCGCACTGTTGTCGGCGCGCTGTTGTCGCGCGGATTTGTTGGTGCGGCTTTGTCACCGCGCTTTAATCACACGCGCTTTAGTCTACCGCGGTTTTGTGGTGGAACCAAAAAAATCATTAGTATGCTAGATATAAGGAGCCATAGTGAGGAGAACTCCATGTTGGTGCACAAATTCAGAATATGAAGGAAAGATTACCAAGACTCATCAACCTGATCACTATCCATTCCTGTTTATCCATGTGTGGTTCAATGTTGCTAAAAGAGCTTTGTAAGAAATTATAAAATTAGGGTAAAAGATGAAGCTATATGGATTGTAATAAGTGTTTTCATCACCCTTCCATACATAGTCAAGGAACAATAAAGGAAAGAAAATCTTGGAGGTGAACAAGTGGCCATGAAAATTGTGTTGTCAAGAAAGAATTGGATTCCTAAACCATGGTCTTCTTCAACAGTACAAGATACTCTTAGATGGAGTAAAGTGTACCTCATAAAAACATGAGGCAATTATTTTGCCAAGAACCTTGTGAATTTTATGCCAATAAGGTTCTTGTGTCTCCTGATAAGGTGCTCACAGGGCCATAGTGTTAAAAAAGGAAACAAAAGCCAGTTGTTCTCTCTCTTAATTTGGAAAATTCTTAAAACAAATATAAAATTGAAACCTTTTCTATCAGGACTTTGGATGAATAACTTGGAAAAAAATGGAACTTTGTTGCTACATCTGTTGACTGTAGCAAGAATCCTATATGCACACAAATGGAAATACACATCAATTTCCACAATGGAAGATGTGTTGGAGAAAGCGATGAAACTGGTAGAGATGGCAAAACTTGCTTTAATGAAAGAAAATAGTTTATCCAGCTTTGTTTCTACTTGGAAACTGCTTCTGGACTTTATGCTTGAAACAAAAAAAAATGAAACTTTGCTCTTATGCTTAGATGATTAGATTATTTCGTTGTTATAGAAATGGCTAGTACTTACTAAATATAGTACAATTTAGAAAGTTGAGGTTGTAACTGTGTTTTATATTCCACTGTACTGAAAAAGTTGTAAATCACTGCTTTTTTACTTTGTACCTTTTCTCATTCCCTTCCTCTATTCAGGTTAATATCTTTGCTTCTGTCTATTTTATATAATAAACTTCAATTAAAAAAAGAACAATCTAATATAATCAGCAAATCACAAGATTATGAAAAACATTTTTGACACCAGTTTCTTTTTTTTACTTATTGCTTTTCTATTTCTCCTTTTTTTTCTTCCTCTCTCAGTCCAAAGTTTATTGTTAAGCTGCATTTTATTTGTTTGTTCTATCCTGTGTTCAATGTAAGGGCTTCATGAGGTGTACCTATATTCCTTTGTTTTATTTTTCTCACAACAGTCCTGTGAGGCTGGGCACCATGCAGGATAATAACCTGAAATCTGTAGTATCAGACAAGACCCTGCATGAGGTAGTACTGTAAAGGGATTTAGAGCTGATCTTGGGGAAGATATGAAGGAGCCATTAAGCTTGGAAGAAAGGAGTAAGCCATTAAGGAGAGTCTTTGACAAGAGATTATGTCCAGAGATAGAAAGTATCATGAAAAAGAAACTCAGAATAATCCCACCTTCATTTTGTTTAGTATAAACAAAAAGAAAATAGAGAGAATTTGGACAGGCTTTCCAGATTGATGCCAACCCTTTGAAGTAGGCCAGGGGAAGAAACACTTTATTGTTGTAAGGTATATTAACAGAATCTTGAAAACCTGTCCAAATTTTTCTCTCAAAGAAAAATCCAAGGTGGAATTAGTTTGAGTTTCCTTTTCATGTTTCCTTCAGTTTCAGGACAGTGTAGTCCAAGTCCCTTAATTAATTCTTGCTGCACTTTTTCTAAATTACGTTGCCTGGTCTGAATATAAATATTGTAGTTTCATTAACAGCTTTCTTATTTTTGTTTTATTCCTCAAATCTATATGAGCTGTTTCCCACTATTTAAAGTAAAAATGCCAGCATGTGGTATTCATGGAATGGACATGAATGCAAAAGTACAGTCCTAGATATTCTCAATATTCAGAAGGAAAATCAATATGAAAAGAATGCCAGTAGATTACAAACAATCTCTAAATTGTTCATTGCAACTAATGATAATCAGAGAAAAATAATTATCATACACATTCCAAGAAGTAATTATCTGTAATCTTGTTACTGGAATTACCTTAAGTATCTTTTTTCTGCTTCTGTTTAAACAATTGTGCTACTTACTTAATGTGTAAAAAATGAAGTGTTTGTAGTAAGTAAATTCTGTCATCCTACATTGCGACATAGATATACTAGTTAGTCTTTCTTTAATTCCACTTAAATGATACATTACACATTTCTTGTTGATTCAGGGAAACTAATAAGGGCCATTTAGGATCTAGGGCTATATGTTTATTTTGGTGTACAGTACACCTTCTATAGAAATACTGTTTATTACTCAGTGCATATATTGTTGCACTCTGAATGAACTAATAAGATCAACAATTCTGCATACCTTTTCTGGACAGGGCTTGTGCCTTTGAATAAGTGTTGACCTGATTAGACTCTTGCCATTTTCTTGGCAAGGGTTTTCAGAAGTGATTTGCCATTGCTTTCTTCCTAGGATTGAGACAGAGTGACTGGCCCAAGGTCACCCAGATAGCTTTGTGCCCAAGACAGGACTAGAATTCATGGTTTCTCAGTTTCTAGCCTGGTGTCTTAATCATTGTACCAAGCTGGCTCTCTCTAAACACCCATTACAACAGAATACCCACTACTCCCCTATTTTTCAAGAGAGGAAGGAAAGCTGCAATATTATAACAAAATGCTCTTATATTTTAAAATTCCATTTCCCAAGTTTATGCTTAAGTCAGGCTCACCAACTTGGCAACTTTAAGACTTGTGGACTTCAACTCCCAGAATTCTCCAGCCAGCTATCTATAGAGCCAGTTTGGTGTAGCAGCTAGGGCTGGGGTCCCCAAACCTGGCAACTTTAAGACTTGTGGACTTCAACTCCCAGAATTCTCCAGCCAGCTATCTATAGAGCAGGGGTGGGTTCCTGCCAGTTCTAACCTAGAAGAGGTTCCACAAATCTACAGTGCCGTTTAGTCTGCACATCATCAAGATGAAGAGTGAGAGGAGGAATTCTGGGAGATGAAGTCAACAAGTCTTAAAGCTGTCAAGTTTGAACACCCCTGGTTTTTTTCTAAAGGGTTAGGGGTGCAAAGGTCTTGCAACATGACAGCTTTAAGACTTGCATGCTTCAAATGTCAGAATTTCTGAGCCAACATTTTGGTTGCTAAGCTGAGTTTCATCACATTTTATAAGTTGGCCACGCCCACCCAATCACATGGCCGGCAAGCCACTCCCACAAAGCAGGCCACTCCTACAGAAGAGGTTCTAAAAAAATTTGAAACCCACCACTGCTATAGAATCAGTTTATTGCAGCAGTTAGGGCCGGGGGTCTCCAAACTTGGTAACTTTAAGACTTGTAGACTTCAATTCCCAGAATTCTCCAGCCAGCTGGCTGGAGAATTCTGGGAGTTGAAGTCCACAAGTTTGAAAACCTCTGTGCTAAGTCATATTCTCTGCCGAATAGATTTTTAAAAACCTTCTTTCTCTCTTGCGCAGCTCCAGCCCTTTAATGCTTTTCTTCTAAGCTCACGGAACCGCTGCCGTCGTTTAGACAGCGCATTTTACCTCATTTACTTATAATACGAGCCCCTCTCCTCCGAGTTCAGTCGGAGGAGGAACTCTGCGAGAGGCCAGGGGACGTTTTTCAGCGACTGCACCAAGCAGAGGAGGGGACCGTGCGGGAGAAGCACCCCGGAGTCAACGTCCCCCCGTGAGGAGTCGTTTCTAAAAGCGCCTCTTCTCCGCCAGCAGCAGACCCGCCAGGGGGAGGGCCACCCCCGCGGGCTCCGCAACACCCACCTGCAGAGCAGCCCAGCAACACGAGGGGCCAGAAGGGACTCCCCATGGCAGGAACGCGGGACGCCGAGCAGGCATGCAGTCCCGTGTGGGCGAGAACCCTCGACCTGGGCGCCACTAAGAACGGCAGCCAGGCTCTTTCGCCACAGGCCCCCGCAGGGCGACGGCCGGAGGACCGATGGAGCCAACCCGAACCGCAGGTGCTGCTACCGCGGGCATCTTTTTGGCTCCTAGCTGTAGCAGCCGATCCCCGCCAGCCCTGCTCCCTCGCCGCCTCAGCCGCCGCCTCTCGGTCCCCGCTGGGGGATCCCCGGCCAGGTGCATGAAGAAGAGGCGCCGATCCTCCTATCCCGCCTCTCCGGCTTGTCTCGGCGTCCCGAGTGACAGGCTGAGAGGGGAGTGGCAGCGGCGGCGGCTCATAGTAGAGCGGCGGCGGCGGCGGCGGAGCCCCAGGAGGAGGAGGAGGAGGAGGAGGAGGAGAAGGGCCGTCTCCAGCTGCTCCCACCCCTCCCGTCTGTCATAGTGGGGAGTAGAGACCGCCTTCCTCGTCCCTTTCCTCGCTGCCCTGCCGTCCCTCCCCACCCAGCCCGCCACGGCCCTCCAGGGGGCCTGGTGCTGGGGTGAGCAAAGAACGGGCTGCCCCCATCCCAGCGCCCGGCTCTCTCCTCGCGGCGTTCCCCGAACCCCCTGGCTTTAGCCCGCTGTCACTTCGCGGCACACCAAGGTGCTTCAGCCGGGCGGGCGGGCAAAAGAAAGGGAGAGGATTTCGCCCCCTTTCGCTTTTTTTCCCCCTCTAGCCTTTCACCCCGCTGAAGTTCTTCCCTCCCAGTTTGCCTCCGAGGGTGACTGACCTCCTTGCCCCGCAGTCCCCGCGGCCATCTTCCCTGGAGGTTCGCTCTCCTTGACACAGTCGGGAAAAAGGCGGCCACCTGGTCCGGCTCCTTTTCCTTTCTCTGATTGCTTCCCATCTCCCTAAGCCACTTCCATTTTTTAAAAATTAAAGAATTTGAGCCAGTGGCTCCAGTTTAGATATTAAAGATGGAGTGTGCAGACCTGACTGCATTGGCCATGAATGCCCACCCGTGCTCGTTTTACACTTGTCTTCGGAAAATAATATTCTATTTTTATTAATTAATTTTTATAGCTGCATACCTTACCAAAAGCAACTCTGGTGGCACACAATAATTAAAAGACAAAAAGGTGACCTGTCTTGTCCCATTCTAGAGGGTCATGCTCATCTCATTTTCCTAGCCAAGGGAGACAGTGTTGTCCGAAGATGCTTCCGTAGTCATGTGGATGGCACTCTGGGAAACACAGAACATTGTTACTTTCCCATTGAAGTGGTACCTATTTATCTACTTGCATTTACATGCTTTCAAAGTATTAGGTTGGTAGGAGCTGGGGCAGGATGGGAGCTCACCCTATCATGCTTGAGTCTTAAACTGCCAACCTTCTGATCAACAAGCACATCTTAATCACTAAGCCCCTACACAACAATTCAGTTCCACTAAAAGAAGGTTTTAAAAACTTTTGTTTTTATTATGAAAACATTTTATTCACTGGATTACTCTTTTTGCAATAGTTCACAAGCTGCGCTGAACTGTAGTAATCTCAAAGGAATCCATTAAAAAAAACTGATCAGGTTTGTCCAATCACAGCTGGAGTATTGTAGTAACTTGTTGCAGCTTTGCCGGGGTCTGAAGTAGGTCTGTGTTTGCTTAGGAGCAAGGGTTGATAGCCAATAGCAATAGCCAACTGCAAAAATAATCTGCCAAAGACATGCTGGGACTGCTGAATGTTCTCCACCCATTGGCAACTTCTAGCATGACATGTAATAGTAGACCCATTCTCTTTGGATTATTTGTAGCATACAGCATTCGTTAATGAAGTTCAGAATTTTCTCCATTCATTTTAAATGTCCAACCTTTTAAAATAAGAAACACAGAGGCAGATAGATTAGACTGCTAGCTAAGTACGTTAATCAGTACTTGCTGTTGTGCCATAATGCCCTATTATAGCATTTGAGCCCTTTTAGTATCTATTGCAGATTACAGATATTTTTACTCTGCTTTTATTCATATATCTACAGTTTGCAGAAAGAATATTTCTGAGAACACTACTCAGCTTGAATTATCTGATAACTCAACACAGAGAACAGCAACCCAACCTACCTGAAACAGACAGATCGCTTTGGGAAATCATGGCATCATTTCATGGTTTCAGGTCAGGGTCCCTACTGAGTGAAGGGGTTGCTTTTATCTCTTACCATTCTTTTGCATCCTGAGATTTAAAATTGGCAGAAAGAAGTAAGACTGTAGATGCAGAATACATTTTTAAAGGGTCCTTTTGGAAGAAAACAAGGACTACTTTTCATATCCAAAGTTATTCTACAATGCAGAGGAACAACCAGATAGGGCCTATAATGGTCATCGTCTGGATTCAGCACCTTCCCTGCCCCTTGACAAACTTCCAGACAGGATTTTTAAAAGTTGCCTTCCTTCACACAGCTCTCGGCTGTTTCAGAAGCAACTTAAAAAAATTCCTGTCTAGATTGTACTAATCTAGATTGTACTAATTTGTCAAGGGGTAGGGTGGGTCCGAGTCTAGACAACAACCAGGCCCTGATTGGTTGTGCCCCTGCTTCTTGTCCTTCACGTCCATCAGTGGAAGGAAAGCCTCATTATGTGTGTTTGTGTGTGTGTGTCTGTATGTGCTAGCTAACCAGTACCTGCCTTGTCCTTCAAGTCCTCCTTGTCTTCCCTTCTGCTGGTCTCCCATTTTTTTCATTCTCTTTTCCACATATTTGACCACTTAGATGCCTTCACACTCCTTTCCTATAATCTCTCCTTTGATACTAATTCACCCACCATCCTCATTGTATTATTGTTTCTTTGATATTGCAATGATTAAAACAAAGGGGAAATGCTTGTTTCTTGGTCTCTTAATTACACCCTGGGACAATGGAAACATTGTAGTAAGCAAGAACTGATAGTTCAGATAAGAAGAAAGAGCATTGAGGGGTACTTTGTAACTTGATTTCAACATGCACATGTTGCAACTTAAAGATAAGAAGGGAAAGAAGAAGGGAAGGGGGAGGGGAAGATTAGATGTGGCACAAAGAAAAGTACACTTTGCCCAGCTTGGACAGAAACTGAAAGAATGCCTATTAGGAGATGGCAGGGTGGAATTCAGGTGTGCTGGAGGAAGAGGTGGAGAAAATATGGTAGCCTGAAGATTTACTGCCCTCCATGGTCCTTATGGGTCATCATTAACCAGAATATATAAAAATAAAGGAAGCTGCTGACCAGTTGAGAACAGCAATTCAGCAACCGGGGATGAAATAGACATACAAGGATCAGCTGTTGGGAGTTTGGGCATGCCAGATACTGTAGCCAGTTGAAATTGAGGATGTTCCTAGACTGGAATGAAGCTTGACACAGAAGGCCTTAAGACAGCTCAGCTTGGGAAATAGTATAGCTGAAGCATAGCAAAGTTTCAAAATACAGGCAGGAGTGCATGTACTGTGGCCTGGAAATGGGTGGAAGGCAATGACGTCTATTCCTGCTTTCAAGAAATGATGGTTAGCCCATTCTGGCAACTGGGCAAGCAGAAAGTGTGGCCTGGTCTAGATATCAAAAAGTTTCTGATTTGGCGGTAGATAGAATGTTTTACTGGTTGACAAAGGGAACAACAGTTGGTGCTCTGAAGTGTTTAGGAAAGATTATTTTTTTAATGAAACAAATGTATACTTACTTTGTTTTTCTAGTAGGGTGATTTAAATTATTAAACATTTTATTAGAACAATTAAAAGTGGACAGTGGGGTTTATTTTTTAACTACAAGTCTGACCAAAGTTCACTATTTAATATATTGGTGTCTGTATAAGTATGTAGCATTCTTGTTATAATTTAACAGGATGCCTTTGCATGGGGTGCAGTTATTCAGATTCTTTTAGCCATCTGAATTTGTATCATGTGTTTGGTTTGGTTTGGTTTGGTCTGGTCAATTTGGGGGGAGGTGTCAATTTTCTTCCCATTTTTTTCCAGTGAAGTTCCAATGCAATGCATGCATGTATGCACAATCCTTGTTTAATGACCACAGTTGGGACTGGCAACTCTATCACTGAGCGACATGGTCATTAAGACTTCATATGACCACTGGTTTGCTATCAATTTATCCATTGACTCTGCTTGTTGAAGCCTGCTGTAAAGCATGTAAATGGCAATCGTATCACCATGGGACACTGTGATGTTTGTATACACTTACCAGTTGCAAAGTGCCCAAATCTTGGTCACATAACTGCAGGGATGCTTCAACAGCTGTAAGTGTGAAGACTCACTGTAAAGTTATTTTTTCAAAAGTTGCTAAATAGGCAATTGTTAAGCAAGGACTAACTGTTTGTAGGTATTCAATATGTATGGCCACCCATCTCAATTCCATGACTGTATGGCTAACAACATATATCAAGAAAAAAGAAACAGCCAACAATTAATGAACATAACAATTGTGCAGTTCCTGCTATAGATCCAGATCATCAACTACAAACAAAACCACATCTTTAAGATCTTACGCAATACTACCATATTTGGCTCAATCTAATCGGGGGGGGGGGGGTTAATGTTCCAAAGTTAGGTATCATAACAGGAAAGGCTATCTTCCTGGATCCTGCCAGATGACACACTCTGCCAGTATCAGCTTCAAGGGCAGCCCCATATAAAGCAAATTGCAATTGTCCCTTTGAGAGGTAAATAAGAAAAGCATGACTATCAGAATAGTCTTCTGGTCCAGGAATGGGCACAATTGGTGCACATAAAAGTCTGGAAAGGTTGTCCTGACCATGACTGCCACCTCAAAACAAAAGTCTTGAGTTCTGGAGGACTTCCAAATTTCACATTTATTCTTTTTGGGATAGTGCAATTCCATCCAGAACTAAAGATGGAGAGTGCTTGAAACCATGGAGGCCCTTATACTCAGAAATTATTCAGTATTACTAGGGCTGAGTTGAAGTTCTCCATCCAAACCCCACAGCTTCCAGACACTGAAGCAGAACCTCCACAATCTCACTTGGGCTGTGGGGATAATATTTACCTGGTAATATCAACAAACTAATGATATTTCATCCTGTGAAGCATTCACTATACTGAAGCGAATGACTTCACTCTAGCACCTTAATATAGAATAGGAGTAGAAATAGTACCAAGCCCTATAGAACAACACAAACCACTTTATGAGTGGGGCTGTATGGTGGACCTATTCCCCCCACTAAGGCTGATTATAATCACAGAGAAAGAAGAGTATCAGCATAATACAATATCGCTACTCCAAAATTATAAAACTGCTCCAGAACCATACTATGATTGATGCTATTAATGACAGTTGAGAG